AAACAATTTTGCTCATCATTTGGCATTACTCATATAACAGGAATCCCATACAATCCACAGGGACAAGGCATAGTTGAAAGAGCTCATCAAACTATTAAAATGTACTTATTAAAGTAAAAAGAGGGAATTGGGAAGGGGTATATATTCCCCAAAGATAAACTTAAAATAACCCTTTTTACTCTAAACTTTTAAAATTTGGATTCATCAGGGCTTAGTGCTGCGGAAAGGCATATGTGTCCAAAAAATGTACATAAGCCCAAGGTACTTTGGAAGGATATTCTAACAGGACAATGGAAAGGTCCTGACCCAGTAATTGTCTGGAGTCGGGGGTCTGTTTGTGTGTTTCCACAGGGAGAACAGCAGCCGATTTGGATTCCAGAGAGATTAACTAAGGTCCTGACCCAGTGATTGTCTGGAGTCTGGGGTCTGTTTATGTGTTTCCACAGGGAGAACAGCAGCCGATTTGGATTCCAGAAAGATTAACTAAAGCAATTTCTACAGACCAAAAAGAAGATGATTTGGCTCAAATCCATAACAGCTGATATCCAAAACTCCAGTTTGGCTATTCTTACATCTGCGACAGAACCAGGATGCTTTTTTCAATATCTATTTTATTATTACCCTTTCCCACATCATGAAGTTCTATTTTGTTTATTGAGCTCATACAGACCTAGGTTAATGTTTTGCTGATCAGTTCTATTTTTTGACTATAGAGTTTTTAAACATTGCAATGGAGATTTCACCTGTAAAAAGTTATAAGGCCTTTACTATTATGTTATGTGTTGTGTGCACACTTGTGTTTTATGTTGTATGTTTGTATGTACGTATGTCCATATATCATATATGATGAGCACTCTTGAAAAAATGGATCCAAATATTTTTTTTTTATTCACGTGATTTAAATGGTTTAATTTAAATTGGGTAATCAGCTGTTGAGGATTGTTTTAATATGTGAACAAAAAAGGAGGTTAACAGATCTGTTTGTTTACTTTCACCTTTCCTTTTCATTATATTTAATAATTCTGTTCAAGATAACGTAAATTGTTAAGAAAATTGTTTTCTTTTAGTGCCTTCTGGAATGTTACATAATTTTTTTCTTTAGCCATTATTGCCAGAATTCCTATCTTCATCCCAGTGCCGGTGAAGACAAAGATAAAACCAATCTACAGCTTCTGCAATAGCCATCACTGAACTGCTTGCAGAACTTGCCTGGACTATGTATCACTTGTATGCATTGTGAACTCACTTGTATGCATTGTGAACTATCTGTTGGTGCAGCAACTTGTGATAGTGTTGGGGTATTTTTGCTGATGGTGTCACCAGCGGTACAATTTTTCCAAAAGGAGCCGTCAATTGGCTTGGTGTATCTTCCTCCCTTCTGCTTGTCATGGTCGTTCAGCTAAAATTTGGGGGCCAACAGAGGTGAGGCAAAGAACCTCACCACCCCCCCCCCCCGCTGGTACAAAGACCTATCCACAGGTGTGGCTGTATGCTGGACCGGTAGTCAATGACAGGTAAGATCCAATTGCAATGGTACCAACCTAAGACAGGAGGCTGACGCCTTGAGGTCAGCTCATCCGATGACGGGTAAGGACCATATGTAGTATTGGACAACCTAAGGCAGGCACTGTCCCTAAGCCACATGTTTGTTGTTTAAACAGAGAGGGGGAGATGTTGAGAGCCACAGCCAAAGGGGCCCCAGCAAACTTCCAGCTGCCAGCTGATGATTGGCTCACAGCGGCCCCAGCAAACTTCTAGCTGCCAACTGATTGGCTCCTCTGCGGTGATGCTCATTGGGCTGTTTCCCCGCCATTTCAGACCACAGAGCTGCTCATTGGGGGACTTTTTTTTGGCTCTGCCCAGGTGACCCAGCCAATCGGCCTCAAGAGCAGGAGGAGTGGGGGAGGTGGAGAGGCTTGTGGGAAGCCGGTGGTGGCAGTTGGGCTCTGAAGGTTTTTCCTGAGGAGCTGTGTGGTTTGGTGTGTGTGTTCTAAAAATAAAGTTCGTTTCTTCTGACAAGTGGCTCCTGAATTGTGCCCAGCCAGACTGCAGCAGCTGGGGGTGGGGAGGGAGCAGGTGCTCCTCCTCAGGAGTTCTCAGGAGAGCTGGGAGATGCACACATGGAAGTAGAGGGCAGCCATGAAGACGCTGGGCGTTTGGTGGTGTGGAGATCCAGAACAAGCAGCAGGGAGGGGTGGTCTTGGCTCCTGGTTTGCTGTTCCCAGGCAGCCCCTTCTTGTCATTCTCCAACTGCTTCTCTGCCTCCCTCAGGGCAAAGGAGAACAAACGACTTTCTCGTTGAAAGGCCAAGAAGGCTTCGCCAGTCCACTCCCCGGGTTTACTGAGCAAGAGGCTCAAGTTCCAGAGATCTTGTGAGGTGAGTGTTTTCTTTCAAGATGTTTGTGGAGTCACAGGAAAGTCCCTGGGGACCCTCTGCAGGTTCCCCCTAATATCCCATTGCAGAGGTACAGTTCTGGGGTGTTGAGACAGTCTCCCACTAGGGGGCGCTATCCAGCGAGCCTCCTGGTCCAGAGGATGAAGTGGGTATTGTGAACTCATTTCATGGGAACTGCCAGTGAACTTGTTCAAGATGCCAGAGATTTCCAGTCCATTAATTTGTGAATTTGCAGTAAATCCATTTCATTCTGGGAGAGAGTAGGGAGAGGGTGAAGCTTGGGGCCACAGCCCCATATCCTTCCCTCTTTGACTGCTCCTAAACTTTAGTGCATAACCTTATCAGCTAATCATTTTGCCTGGAGACAGGAGCCCAAACCAGAAGAACCTCAGAATGTCCAGGGTAAAAGCTCTGCAGCATGAGCAGCCCTAGAAACCCAGCAGGGATGAAGCTATTACAAGAAGACAGGCCCAATGTAGTGCAGGGAGACCTGGTCCTGATCCTCACTTCCTCTAAGCCCCATGCTCACACAGATAATGTCCTGTCCTCAGTTTATTGCTTAATGTTTTTCCTATTCACTGAGCAAAACCTCTTGCAGACAAGCCTTGAATTTTAAGTGGAACTTTTCATTCATTTATGAAAAGTTTAATTGAGAAAAAATTTTCAGCAGAGATGAATCCATCCATTCCTGCAATGACTATTTTCCTTTCCACATAAAGGACAGTCAGGGTTCTGGTTGTCTTATTTGGTAGATTTACTGACCCACTAATGCATTCCCAGTGCTTTTTTCTTCAACTCTTGCAACTCCTCACATCCACATAGCCCCTGAATGTAGCAGAGCAATCTGAATGAATTACCGTGTTTAAATCCTTTCCAGCTGAGCTCCCTGTGACTGAAGAAGTGAGAACCATTGAGACCAGTTACATTTTTGTTCTGGCTAGACCTCTGGGCTGCCTTTGTGGGGATATTTTGGAGTTCTGTGTTAAGAAATACACTATCTTTGGACTTACTGAGGACCTTTGATGCTAAATTTTACAAAAGATTTGGTGGGATTCTTGTCTTTCTTTAGGAAGTGGGACTCAAAATCAGATCCAAGGAAAGCACTTTCCCAAATAAGCCACTTATTTTTTAAGCTCCTAAACATTCCCATCTGTGGTATTTTGCTTCTTCCCAGAGGCAGGCAACTGAATTCTATGACCCTCATGGATTTCATTCCCATAATGCAATTCTGTCTTAATTGTAATTGACTCTGCTTCTCCCCCAAGGCCCTCTGGATCAAGGAGTGACAGCGTTAGAAGGAGGAAGGAAGAGGGTGTTTATGTGAGGGAGCTCTTCACCTTCTATGGCAGCATGGAGGCAGTGGAGTAGAATGGATCTTCTCATGTTCCATGTCTCTTTTCTTGATAGGATCATGGCTTCTGGACACCAAACACTCATTCAACCATAAAAGGAAACAAGTCAACCTCTACTATGAGGCCTCCTCTTGGAGAGGTGGGCTAGTCTTCATCTACCCATTTGTCTGTTCATTCATCTCTCAATCCGTCCATCCTTCCTTCCATATGAACATTTCATTCACTCAAGAAACATTTATTAAGTACTTACTCTATTCTGGCTACCATGCTGAGGGGGGCACAGGAGAATATGAAAATTTCCTTGACCCTTTGCTTGTAGTTTAGTTGGGACAAGGAGACATAAATAATAGTAGTAGAATATTAAGGATCAATAGAGCTATGAACTAAAGTGAAGGGATCAAGCAATTTAGTAGTGTTACATAAAAGGGCATTTGAAAATGATATTCAGATATAGGGATGGGGTTGGATAGGGTAAGTTTCCATTATTATCCTCTTTGTATTTGTTTGAAGGACGTGTGTGTTTATTTCCTTCTAGCCCTAACCTACGTGCTTATAGACGTTATATTCATATATAATAAAAATGTTGTTAGTTTGCCTCTTCTTTGAATGTTATAACATAAACATTTGGTGGCCAAACTTATACATACACACAAAAAAATGCATACACACATGTACATACAGAACCCCCTAGACACACACATGTGCACACACATACATGCACAGCGTGTGTGGGGGGGGGAGAGAGAGAATGTTTATGGATCATAACTAGGAGTTTTGATAGGCTCAGTTTCCTAAAAGCTATATGCAGTGTTTTTTGTATGTCAATCAATGATACCTAAGAATATACTTTTCTCCCTCTTGATGTGTTTGATGTTGAGCACTAATGAGAATTTATGAAAGATTGTTTTGAGAGTACCTTCTGCTAATCACTCAACAGAAAAGTTAGGAGACAGCATCAGGGAGTTAACTTTAGTCAAAACACATCCAGTTGATTGGCAAGAGAGATTAGTGCTTCATGGACAGGGATGACCAGAGAATCATCTTCACCAAAATGTTAGTTATGTGAAATGGCTTCACCTCCTTGCACAGAAAACCCAGTAGTGGAATGTTTCAAGTGTAAATGAGGGAGAGAGCAGTTGAAAGTCTGTGGTATATACATGAGTCTAAGGAGCTCCTGGCTGTAGAAAACCCTGGGAAGGTTGAGGAATTGGCTCTCAACATGATATATCAACACTGCAAACTGTAGTGATAGGTTATTTATCTTAAGGCATTTCATTTATTCCATAGCACCAGGTAGAGATACATGATCATAAAACATAATGATAAAATAAAACCAAACTAACACAGCATTGTTTTACTCTGACATCAAAGAATATGAATCTGGCTATGAGTATGCTATTTAAGTTATTGTTATATGCTATTTACTAGAACCAATAAAAATATGTCTTCTGTCCTTCTTGACTACAAAATACTCTGAATTTACAGAAGGAAAAGATCCCAAGCTGTCTGGAACATCAGCTTTGAGACCAAGTTTGAACTTGAGTCATTTTACTCTAGCCTATTGCTAACCAAACATGTACTTCAACTCTTGAGAGATCTGATGAGTAGTTTAATTTTTGAGTTCACCCAAGTTGTACAAGAACCATCAAACTGCAAATCTCAAAAGTTCTCAAATACATTAAAAACGGAGAGACAAACAGGTGTGTGTTTTCAAATTGCAAGCCTGCTAATTAAATGTGATTAAGAACTAAGAGCTCAGGCTTATCCTATTAGTTCTCTTCCAGGGTTGGTACATTCTGTTTTTATTTTGGTGACCAAAGTAAATCATGGATACTGGCATACTCTGGATCACTGAGGTGGCTGCATTATGAGATTGCCACGTGATTTCATTGGCCATATTTGCATTGCATTTCTGATTATTTTAATGGTTCTATTCTGATGATCCTAAGTTGATGAGATAAAAACAAAAGTATATGGATTTGAACATCTTAAGTAAAGACTAAGTGAAATCAGTCCATTCTGTACACATGAAGATTTCTTAGAGTCAGTGAAGAAAGATATTGAGGACATGGATGTCACAAGGCATATGGGAAGTCAGGTTGTCACCAAGTACAGCAAACCTGTGTGTGTGTTGGGGGGGGAGGGGTTGTCCTATGCCTTTTGTAGTTTTTTTCTATCAAATTTCTAATTTTCTTTTGATGTTAAAGTATATATCAGCTACAAAAACAAGGAGTTTATACCTGTCTAATGTTTACATATATTTAATAAACCCTATAATTAAAACTAGTTAGGTTAGTACTAAGAACTTTTAAGGATCCATTTCCTTCCTATTACTTATAAGCAAAACTTTGGTATTCCACTCTGATTCCTACATGGTTATTTGAAAGATTGCAACTCCCTGCCTGCGGGCTCAGCTCTGGTCCTTGGGTAGAACTGCCCAGTCTCAATGACAGAGCCCCTTCTGGCGAAGCTGGCTATTCCTGTGCATTCCCTATTTAGCATTGACTTTGTGGTTAGGCACTACATGGTCTTCAAAATGCTCAGCTGCACTTGGTGAGTGTGCCAGTCTCTCAGAATTAAAATAGCTTTCAAAGGAGGAGGGCCCTGCACTCTTGACTGGAGTCTGAGAAGACTCCTCCCCAGCTGCAGGGGAGGGACTGGCGGGATCTAAGGGCCACTGAAGTAACAAGAGGAAGTGGGGGCACCAAAGAAAATTGATCGCTGAATTCACAAAAATTGGAACACATATTTGGCAAAGCGCTGGTCTCTGCTCCCCGACAATGTAGTCTTCTGTTTGCTCTTTTTGGCAGCACAAAAAACGAGTTTGTCATCGCTGAGGACGACCTGAGGGCGGAGCTGCAGCTCCAGGCTGACTCCTACAACAGGGCGCAGATCCCCAGCATCACGACGAGGTGGCGCATAACATCTGTGAACCAGAGCAGGCGGGGGGGGGGGGGGGGGGGGGGGGGGGGGGGCTCTGAGACAGAGGCCTGAGGGCAGGAGCAGCTCAACCCGCTCTAACCCGAGGAGGGCCCAGCTCAGGGGTCTTAAGTAGGTTTGCATAAAACTCCAACGTTTTACACAGAGTCATTTCTGTTCCTCTTTTGGGGATTCCGCAGCTCACTGTTATCGGTACAAAGAACCTGGCGGATGAACCTTCCATCCTATGTGATGGAGCATTTCCTTGTAGGACCTTTGCCATAGAACTTTCTCTAAATATGAGAATCTAGGATTGGAGTCTAAAAAGTTGATTTACACGATTTTCCTGTAACCGTAAGAGTGAAGTCTGCACCTGCAAGTTGATTACTAAATGATCTCCTTGCAATTACCTCCTTCTCATCATTCCAGGGAGATCTTGGCTCATAGCTGAAATGGTTCTTCCTCTTAGGGCTTCCCTGCCTGCTCTTTGAATCACGTGCCCCCAACCCCAATGTACTCCACACATATTAGGAAGGGCGAGGGTCTTACCTGTCATGTTCACTGAGTTGTCTGATGCCCTTAGCTGTCATTAAATAATCCATACAACCTCAGGTACGATAGGGACAGTGATTAGCCCAATTCCACAGAGGAAAAGGTATGGAGGGGTCAGGTCATTGCCAAGGTCACTCAAGTAATGAGGGGCAGAGATGTAACAGGGACTCAGATATTTCTTGAAAGAACAGATCATTAAAAACGGTGTTCTTCAAATGAAGGAATCCAAGCAAAGTCACCTGGTGATGACTTTATTGAGACTTGGGGGATTGGGTTCCAGTCCTGCTGTTACCCAGCTCATTCATCCCTTCAGATCTCAGCGGCTGGTTGGAAAAAGACCCCTTAACCTCTGCCCGTCTCTGCCCCATGTAATTTTCAACTCTAAACGTTTTTGCTGGGGCCAAAGTTAAACTTCTTCTGAAACATCCATCTGCTTTACAAAAGTGGGCATTGCCTTGGCATTCCCCAAAATGCCTCTTTTCCTTACCTGAGAAGCTATGGAGACTCCATGATCCCCTGCCTGGAGTGAGTGAAGAGAGAGAACGCAGGTTTAAGAAAAGACCATGGGCTTTATGTTTCTGAAACATAAACCCAACTGCATCTCCGCCTCCTTTAAACCCTGAGCCCCCCCCCCCCCCCCCCCCCCCCCCCCCCCCCCCGCCTTTAGGGCAAGGTCTATGCTGAAGCTCACAAAGGCTTTATCTCACACCATTTTCTCCCAGGCTTTCTGAGGCAGGGGCTGGTGAACTTTTCAGGAAGGACCAGAGAGTAAATATTTTCAGCTTTGTGGGCCAGTCTCTATGACCACTAATCCACACGGTCAAAGCATGAACACAGCAGTCCACAGTACCACTTCAGTGAACAAGTGTGTCCCTCGTCTAATAAAACCTTGTTTATAAATACTGAAATTTGAATGTCAACTAATGTTTATAGGTCATGAAATGTTGTTCTTCTTTTGATCGTTTTTGGAACCTCATAAAAATGTTAAATTCTTTTTTTGGTTTGCAGACCACACATAATCAGGAGGAAGCCTCGGCTTGGCTAGACTCTCAAGTATGGCTGCTATGGTGCCCAGTCTCCCCAAGCGTCTTGTTCACCCTAGGTCACACTACCCTCAGTCCATCATACAGATTTTCAACAGAGGTCTTTCATGAGCCCTGGACTGAGCTAAATCCCTTGCTGGATACTTCCTGGCACCCCTGCCCCTCCACAGGGGTCTTGCTCCTTGCTAGATGGAAAGTTCCTTGTTGGTTCTGTTTATTTCCAAAACTCCAGTGCTAGAAGCTCAATAGAGGCTCATTGACTGGCACCTGACATGCCTAGAACATTCTCTTTCCTATTATTATTGTTCTCTGCATGTTCTAGTCAGAAGCTCAGCATTTTCTGATTCCTTGGGGCCATTTTGGATTTGAGCCATCGATAGAACTTTTCAAGGTACTCAGCAAACCTCAGCTTCTTGGATTCCCATCCCTCCCCCCACTGGAAGACTGGAGGAGCAGGTGAGAGCTGTGTCTACAGGCACACCTGGTTTGGCAATTCAGTCAAAATGCTCAAACCGGCTGTGCCTGTGGGCACAGCCCAGAGTGCGCCCAGCCAGTGGGAAACAGGCTTACTCCGCAGGGAGAGCTCCACCACCAGCACGCCCCCAGTCTGGTCCCGGAGCAGGCGCTTCCGTTTGTCGCAGGTCTGATGACCCCCGAGAGGAAGGATGAGAACAAAGGAAGGGAAAGAAGAGGGAATTAGAAAAAGAAAGAAAAAGAAAGTCACCAACTGGATGGAGTAAAAATTCTCCAGTCAACTCATACTAGTTGGCTTATATTTATTTATTTGTTTTAAATAATTCTGAGAACCCAGGAGGAAAGCGTCAGTAAATTAAGAATTCAAGTTGGAAGAAATCCTGCTTGGTCCTTTCTACCACACGTGGGAGGAGTGGACCCACATCTTTTGATAAAAAGTGAGTCTTTTACTTACAGTTATTGTAATCACAGTGACTGAGGACACTTGCAAAACATGTTCTTTTTTAATGTGGTGTCAATATTCAGCCTCTGATCAATTGTAAAATGTTTCTGTCAGCCTTTCCCCAGTCCCACACCCTCTGGCTCCTTTCCCTTTTACTATCTGTGCTCATGGATGACCATCTTCTGTCCAAGTGACTCAATGCAACTAGAGATCATAGCCTTTCTTTCTTTCTTTCTTTCTTTCTTTCTTTCTTTCTTTCTTTCTTTCTTTCTTTCTTTCTTCCTTCCTTCCTTCCTTCCTTCCTTCCTTCCTTCCTTCTTTCTTTCTTTCTTTCTTTCTTTCGATTGAACTCAGGGCACTAAACCACTGAGCCCATCCCCAGCCTTTTGTGTTTTATTTAGAGACAGAGTCTCATTGAGTTGCTTGGTGCCTCGCTTTTGGGAGGCTGGCTTTGAACTTGTGATCCTCCTGCCTCAGTCTCCCAAGAATGCTGGGATTACAGGTGTGCAAAGATCATAGCCTTATTTTTTTAGTTCCCTAGACATTAAAGACAGGCAGCCTCTTTGGAAACTCTGAGACCTCTAGTCTACATAGACCAGAGAGGCCAACAGTTTAGGATTCAGCACTTTAAGTCTATAAGATGGTATTCTGAAGCAAGGTGAGCATCAGGTTCACCTGATGGCCTGAATGCACAGATGGCTGGTCCTTCCTCTCAAGGTCCCATCAGCTCTCCCCCAGAATTTCTGCAGCATGTGTCTGAAGACTGCCCAACTGAGACTAAAACACCCCTGCCTTTTGAATTTTGTGCAGACCTTGAATTTCCCTTGTACTTCAGCTTTTCCAAAGCATTTCCATGTCTGTCAGTGCCTTACATGGTCTCTAAAAGGGGACGGGCCGTCACTACTTAGATGAGAAAACTAGGCCCAGGGGCTTAAGTGACACTCACCAGACTGGGTAGGTTGTCGGAGGCAGGTGGACGGGCCTGGAGCTTCCACCCTACTCTGGGCCCATTTCCCCAGGAAGCCTTCTGCACATATCCTACTGCCAGTTATGACTTCCCAGTTCAAATCCAGCTCCCCCAGTACCCCACCCCCACATAACATTCTCCTTCCCAAGAGGGCGGCTTACCACTGGGCAGGAGAGCTTCTCGCTGTCACAGATGAATGTCTCACAGTGTAACCAAACCTTGGAGAGTTTGGGGATGTTCTGGAACCGGAAGGCATTGAACTGGAAGGTGGCCCTGTGATCCTTCCCATTCTCGTGCACGAGGACCGTTTCATCTGTGGGGCAGCTGATGCACATGGGGGAAAGAAGACCAAATGTCACCTCAGGGAGCTCCAGCAGGGGCTCTGGACAAAGTTACACACAGTGTGTGCAGCGCTTTGTCCTTCCAAAGCACTGTGATAGGCAGCACCCCACTTGATCTTCACAGTTAATGAGGTCAAGCTGAGGGCCTATAAGATGGGTTGGATTGTCCCCATTCTATAGGCTAGGTACAATAGAGGGGAGTGGCTTATGAGAAGCCATTCACCTGGTGAGTCACACCCTTGTCCTAAAGAAATGAAATGCCCAAGAGATAAAGTCCTCCCAAGGACTGGGATGTGGCAGACCCCCAGAGTAAAACACCCCAAGATAATGACCAGGGCACTGGGAGCAGCAGTTCCCTGTGTCACCACAGACATCTAAACTCAAGGCATATGTCTCTGTGTCTATGATGAGATTTTTGTCATTGGAAATTTGAATTTATGTTCCACTTTTTAACTTATATTATAAAGTCACCTTTGTAAATATGTGGTCAATTTTAAAAAAATGACTAGAAGAGTAGCATCTAATTGTGTCGTTACTGGAGTAGAGGCAGGACCTAAAGAACGTCACCTCCGAGGGGTGAATGTTGTACCTTCGTATCTAGACCAAGGGTCAGAGCTGGTTCTGTTGGTGGTGGCTTCTGAGTAGCAATAGAGCTGTGGGCATTTTCCAAGTTATGAAATGAGATTCTTTCAGGATCATTTGGTCAGTAAACCCGAGATCCTTGTATGAACTCAAAATGTGAGACCTTAAAATAGCTCTTTGCAGCTCAAGTGTAAGCCAGTGGAAAAGAGAGTAAGTAGAGCTTTGTGGAGGGGGAACCCAGAGGGCGGAGAGTGAGCAAGTCTAGATGCTTTGGCACTGCTGCCTCTTGGCCGGAGCTCTGGCACTTGCCCCTCAGTGACAGCTACCTCTTGTTGGTTGAAGTCCCCTGGGAGCTTTCACACCATCACTCCACGCATCTCTGTCCCCACATCAGGTCTCTGTGGGAGATGGGTGTGCTGTTTCACTTGTGCTCATGTGCCCAGGAGAGTCCCTGATAATGTATCTGCTCTAATCCCTCCGAGAGCTCTTGAAAACTAGGGTTTCCTCCAAAAGATACCAATGTGAACTAAAAGTATTTTCCCCAGCTATCCCAAGCCAGAGCAAAGCAGGCTGGGATACTCCTAGCCCCACCATCGGCCCTGACCCTAGACAATGGAACCTACCCCTTGTTGATCAGTTGCCACTGCAAGGGATACATGAAGTCAGCAGAGGGTGTGGCCCAGCAACTGTTCAGGACCACTTTAAACCTGGAAAGAAAGCAAAATGGTATCACTTGGAGCTACAGTCTTAGGCTTAGAAATATTTGGTGTTTGGAAAGTCTCTGGGCTAGCTTTTCCCCCTTTATACTTAAGAATATAAGCCTAAAGAAATGTACTTACCTAACACTTAATCCTTTGGCTTCTACTCCTGCAAACAGATCTGAACCAATCTCAGATGTCTCCAGGACAAAGGGCGCTTCTTTCTTCGTAGAGAACTTGGCATTCTTGGGAAGGAAATTGACATCAGGCATTATGACCTCTCAGACTGAGAAGCTGGGTCTGGCAGGAGCAGATGAATTGGAATGGGATGGGGATGGTAATCAACCCCAAAGAACAAGCACAGGAGACCACATAGCATAGCACAGAAGCTGCCCCAGCTACGATGCTGGGGCCATCTTAGTAGGAGTGAGGACATCCCATATTCTAGATTTGCTGGTCATGGAGAGGCACACGCTGTACATCTCATCTATGCCAACAAAATTTAACTGATGGAAACAAATCGAATCCAGAGATATTAAGGTGCTGTGTTTGATGAATCACCCAAAGACCAGAGAGACCGAACACATACAGCCCCTCTCTACCCTTGCTTACCTTCTTGCCTGGGCAGATTTCAGCCTGAGTTAGAAAGTTTATGATCTGATTCCCAGTGCAATTAACAACAACAAGAAGATGCATAACTATCTACTATGTGTCAGGGATTGATCTACAGATTTGGTTGGTTTCTATGTCAGGATATTTTGTATGGTCAGAAATATTGGTAAACAAAGTCAAGATCTGTCTGATATTCTAGTAGAGAGAGACAGTAAGTAAATTGTATAGTATGTTAGAAGAGAACACAGTATGCTATGTAAAAAAAAACTATAAAAATGGTAGATTAGGGTAAGGTAGATTGAGAACATATGGAAGGACAGGTTGCAATTTTAAATACTGTAGGGAGTCTTCACTGAAGAGGAGATATTTGAGCAAGACTTCAGGGAAGGGGGCCATGCAGCCATCTAGGGAAGAATGTTTCCATTAGGGAAAAAGGCCCTGGGGCAAAGATGTGGCTGCAAAGAGGTCAGTGTGGCAGATGCCCTGAGCAGGTGGGGGTGAAGGCAGAGGTGGAGAGAGGCTCAGCGGGGGAAAAAAGATTAGAGAGGCTACAGAGGAGGATGGAGGAGACTGGGACCTCAGCTCTGAGTGCAGACAGGAATCACCACTATGACCTGAGCTTAGAGGCAGCAGGTTCTGATCATCAGCCCAGTTGTGTGGTCTATACCTGGCATCTTCTTAGGCAGCTCTGGGTGTGTTATCAGGAATAACAGCAGTATTTCCAGTTGACTTACCCAAAGGAGGGTGACCTCTCCATTCTCTGAGTCTTGGACTCATTTAAATCTACTAACAACCTGGCACAACACTCTGGATTTAGTTGCCAGAGACGAAATCACTGGATGGAAGAACAAGAATCCTGGGGTAACTTTAGCTTCCATCCACTAACTTGGGACATTATGGAACAGAAACCCAAAGTACATACCAGGGTACTATTTAAAAGATTGAGTTTCAAGGGCTTGGAGCTTTGCAGAACTGCAATCTGTAGGCAGTAACAGGCAGAACTCACTTTCAGCAAGGATATCTAGTCAAAATGAAATTTTACCCCCTTGGGGTCAAACACACAGGGACTTTTATGTTAAGACTCAGAATCTTTCATCTTTGAAGACCGCTTATGTTGTTTTACTGATTGCAGATCCAGCCGAGGCCTCCTAGAATCCGTCACCTAGAAGTCAGAGGTTTCTCTTCCATTTGTCAGGTTCCCGCACCATTTCAGTGGTTGCAAAAATTAAATTAGAATGTTCTTAGTCATAAATGATTCATCCGCTTAACATGCATGTTGAAGTGGCAGATTTACAGTGGCTTTTTATGACCCGTGTTACTGCCTGAGGTTCGCCATATTTTAAGAACACATTTGCAAAGGTGGTAACTGACCCAGGAACCACAATATAGTTGCTAATCTAGTCCTTTCTTTCTTTATAACATGAAAATTATGGATCTGTCCCAGATCTGTCCCAGTCCTATAACAATACAGGACTTTGTTTTGGCATCCCTAAAAACATAGAAATACTGCATGAACTGCTCATCCATCCAACAGAATGGAAGAACACCTTGAAAATCCACGCCATACAGTCTCTTCCCCTGACCCAAGGGCCGAATCACAACCAGCTAACTGTACAAGATTAGGTGCACCTGATATAACAGCAGTTCACATGGGAAAATTTAGGCATTTCTTCCACTCACAAGCTCAACATGAAATACAAGAAAAGTACAAGAAAAGTGTTCCAAAGTTAGATCCTAAGACATGTTCATAAAGTCCTCCAGAAATTAGAAGGTCACCTCTGACTCACCTGGCCCCACATTAGCCTGACAAGGTCCACTTTTTTCTTTTATTTTTGGTACCAGGGATTGAACCCAAGGGCACTTAGCCCCTGAGCTACATTCCCAGCCCATTTTTTATTTTTTATTTTGAGACAGAATCTGTCTAAATTGCTAAGGCCTCACTAAGTTGCTGAGGCTGGCTTTGAATTTGTGATTCTACACTTTTTGCCTCCCGAGCCTCTGGGATTATAGGTGTTTGCCACCATGCCCAGCGGTCTGGGCTCTACTTTTAAATAGCAGCATTGACCAATTGAACCATACTCAGAGGAGATGGTGAATGAACTATAGTGAGAAGGTGTTTAGCTTGAGGAAGATGAAAGGTATTTGAAGGACACAAAATAATTACATGGTATTATTCAGGAGATAGAACAAATGGGCAGGAGTTCTGTGTATCAGTTTTCAAATGCTGAATTAAAATGAGAAGACCCAATTGCCATTATCTTTGAAAGAGGCAGAGAAGCCATCCCTCACCAATCTTGCAGAAGTGTTCTGAACTTTGGGTGGGAGGTCAAGGTTGATTGCTTTCTGACTCTGGGAATCTGTGATTTTTAGCTTCTGTTGCTTGCATTTGTTTAGAGCTTTTTCATTTCTCTTTGTCTAACTAAGAATTACTGTTTTGATTGAATAAAAGTCAACCCATTCCCATACTACTGACATTGATATTCAATGCCATAGAGGTCACAATAATAGGAACCCTCAGAGATTCCAGGTTAAGTAGGTTCAAAGTCTGCAATCATGAGAATGGCTATTTTCTTGGGCAGATACCTAGTGCCAGGCATGGTATTAAGTGCTTCCTAAACATTATTTCATTTAATTATCATAATAAACCTAAGGGCTAAGTGTTATTATATCCCTACTTTATAAATGCAGAGATAGAGGCACAGAGAGGTTAACTAACTTGCCCAAGGTCACAAAACTAGTAAACAGTGGAACCAGGCTTCATACCAGTGTTCTGATGGCACGGTCCATTTTCTTAACCATAGTACTAGGCTACTTCTGTAAACCAACTTCCTTCATGTTGGATTGGGAGTCCAAATAACTTTCCGCTGGGAATACCAACTATGGGTTCTTGGCAAAAGTGCGTGGAAGGGGGATGGAGAGGAAAGAGAGAGGAAGCATACTGAGTAGAACTAGTGCTTTTGGAGTCCAGCATTTGAAGTTCTTGGAATCCTAAGCAATTAGCAGTGCGCCAGTTCCATTGTGCTATCTGGGGCACAGCTCAGCTTCTGGTAATTTGATGGAAATGTATGCAAGGAACACTTGTTGCTTCAGAAACACACAAGAACGCTCTCAAAGAGGGGGGAAAAAAGAGAGAGAGAGAAGAAAACAAAAGCACACAGGCCAGGCATAGGAAACCAAGTCCACAGTGGGAATATTCATTAATACAAAACCTTCTCTTTGCTGAGGTCTGTCCTGCACAGGTCTTGCTGGGCCCTGGGGAGGCTTTAGCCTCATTTCTACAGTAGTTCAGGGAGGGATCCCATTAGTCTACCCCTCCAGCAGAGAGGATGGTCTGTCTGGCTGAGGCTGAGAACATACCTCTTAATTCTTTTTTTTAAAGGAGTAAGCTCCTTATAGTTCTATGGTTTGATATTTTTGTCTGAATCTCGGCCTAACATGGCTGATAGTGGGTGACATTTTCAAAAACCCCGGTGTCTCTCTATTACCAACTGTTGTAAAACCTTCATCGAATCATATCTATAATTTTAACTTGTTAAAATAACAATTATTCACTTCCGGACAGGGACTCAATAGTAACGACAACTTGTCATTAGGACGTCCCCTAAGACTGTTGTCAATGTGTGGAAGCCCATTTCTTCTCTGGACAGCCTTCATCAGTCCTACAGGATTTCCTCATCCTTTTGTCACCCTGGTGGCCCACACTTTATTTATCCCCCTGATGACAGGTCAAGGCACTGTAGGGATTTCTGATTCTCAGGATCTAACCACTAGTGGTGTGTGGCCAGGGGCAAATCCAGGTTTTAGGGGACTTGAAGCTTACCCTGTTTGGAGAGTCCTCTTTAATAAAAAGATTCGAAAAATTGAATCCAAAATTAGACACAGGGCTTGACAAGGACTTGTGTAGTGAGGGGCCCGTACACTTAAGCTTCAAGCCCTTCATGGGGGAGTCCACTGAAACCACAGCTGTAGACTGGGCTCCTCCAAAGCACCCAGGTGACCTTGGGCAAATCATGTCCTTCTTTTCTGGGCTTCAGATCCTCACCTGTACAAGGGACTGGGTTATTCTAACATTCTTCTGATTCTCAGTGCTGAGTTTGGCAGGATTAAGAGCCTTCTAGGAAGCAGGTACAGCGAGTTCTAAGAGTTCAAAGTTAATAGAGTTCCAGGCAGGAGAACTTTTCTTTTGTGAAATAAAGGGGTCGGACGTGATGTCCTCTGAGAATGTCTTCCAGCTCTATGTTCTAGGTCAAGGTTTCTGTGTCTGCTGCGTCTTCCTATAGTCAGCTGGCCGTTGTCTCCTCTGTGTGCATTTGTCTCACCAGAAGTCACCTTCTAAGCAGGAGAGCAGCTGAGCTGTGGCCATGGCATATGTAATTTCTTTGGGGCACTTTATTTTGAGGGTTACCAAAGTGTGCCTTTAACTTCAATGTCAATATAGGCTGCAGACCCAAGTTAGGTAACGAGGGAACTCATGTACTGAAAGCTAAGTAGCAGAGGGGAGCCCTAACTCTTCTCCTCAGATCTGTTAGGAAATGCTGTCTGCCAAATGCTTTAAAAAGAGCGAGATTTTAAATATAAATAGATCTCTGGAGTAGGCTATAATGGAAACCAATCTCGATTAAGAGTCGGATATGGACTGTCTTACCGTCTTCTGACATTGCCTCAAGCTTCTCACCTGTGAGGTGGGAAGGTTGGCCTTACCTTTGTGGCACCTTTTAGCTCTTCTATTCCAACTACGAGTCTGACTTTCTGCTACATTTACTCTTTTAAGAGGTTGGAAACTAAATCACAGCATATGTCTCAACTTCAGTTCTCAATGGAGCTTTGCCTAGAGCCTGGGCAGAGTGAATCCTGAGCAAAGGTCCCATTGTCTCCTGGAAAGGCCACAGGGCAGGAAAGGGAACCTGGACTTACAGTGTAGAAGTTGAGAGACAATTGGCTTTCAAAAGTGCCCATGCTCCCGTTCTTCACATGAACAGTGGCCACTCTGAAAAGGGGAGAGAATTTTGCATAAGGACTGAAACACGCCTGGTTGCTAGGGCTGCAGCACACACCCAAGCAGCAGCCCCCCCACACCGCAGAGCAACCTACCTCTGGTCAAAGGCAGCCTGGTTCACCAAGTAGGTGGAGTGGTAGGTGCACGAGAAAGAGTAGTTCACCGGTTGGTTCTTGATGACCACTGTGCTGTCATTAGAAACGATGTGGCTGTAGAAGTGGTAGATGGGGGGCTTGTACTAGAAAAAGGGAGAAGGCAGTTAGGGTGGCCCTGGGCCCCCAGGATAAGGGTGAGAGTTCTGGGAAATGCACATGAGGATGGCTCCGAAAAAAAAAAGCCCAATGTGGGGACAGCAGTATTTGGCATGGATGGTAGAACTTCCTGTCTGAGTGTGAGCTGGTAATTTTCATAAAGAATTCTTGAGTGCCTTCAACTAAAATGGTTTAGAATAATCTAGGTTGATGTTGTATGCTTTAAAAAAAAATCCAGAAACCCATTGGGCTTCTGACCAAAAGAAGCTGCTCAAGAATGCCTACTTCTCAGCATCAACTTTTTATCCATTTCACTTGTTAAAGTGTAATAAGTGAATGTTTTCTCCCCTCTGCCATTTCTAGAACATTACTGTCTCGTTCTGTGCATTTCCTTTTTTTCTAACAATAAGCACGGTTTCTGAGATTCTTTCTTCTGGCATGTTGGACTCTAAAATCACATAATATTAGATGCTGGGACCCACAGATGGATAATCATCTTTTGGTCAAGGCAGCTGAACCTCAACAGGAAGGTCGGGAGACCTAGCCTCCTTTCATGACTATGTCCCTATTGGTTCTGTGGCCTTGAACTGTGGCTTTATGGAGGTATCAGATTTCTCCTCTGTCATACAAGGAAATTTGGCAAGAGAATGTCTGCTATTAATTCCATGATTCCCTGTCTTAGGTACTTCATTTATATGGCCCAGTTGAAGATTGTGCTATATTCTGTTCACTCCTTTAAAATACTCTCCCAAATGCATTTCATTATCACTTCCAATTCTTGAAGAAAGGATGGTCCATTCCTCTGCCTGTCCAACCCAAGAAGGACAGAGGCTTGGGAGCATAAGCTAAGAATTTGAAGTGAGTCAGAAGTGGGAAATGTACTTTGCTCTATGCATAGAGGGGGGCCTTGTAATCCCAGCAACTTGGGAGGCTGAGGTAGGAGGATCACAAGTTCAAGGCCAGCCTCAGCAACTTATCGAGGTCCTAAGCAACTTAGTGAGATCCTGTCTCAAAAAGAAAAAGAAAAAGAAAAACAACAAAACTATAAAGGGGGCCTTGTGCATGCCAGCAACAAATAAGGAGAATAAAGCCAAGTCATTCTCAGGCTAGTTGCCTGATCTTAAGAACAATGTGGCTTAGCCTTACCTCAGACTGGGTTCCACAATAGGACTTGTTTTTAGGTGATAAATCTGGGATGACAAATTGGTAGTAACCACCTTCATGGACTCCATTGTAACACAGTCCCCCAAGGGCCAGCTGATGTACTTCCCATCCGTAGGGACACTCAGGGATTTTGGTGATGATGGTTTTGGGATAACAAAACACAAGAATGACATCTGGAAGAACACGCACATGGCTTGAGTCAGACTGGGTCATGGTAACCACTGACTTTAAAGAGCCGTGGATCCCAATCACCCCCTAACACGCAGAGCCTGTGATCAAAAACATCTTCCTTGCTGTTCGTTAGCATCCAGTATTTTCCCCTAAATTTCACTAAAGTTCTACTTTTAGAGTTTATTTGATAACTATACTGTATTAGTCTATTTAAAATTGGTTCATTTTTAAACTTTTGTTTTATTTTAAAAGGACCGTGTGAAATCACAGATTAGAATACACACACACACATATAGCTGTGAAAATGAGCACATACCTTAAAATTTTTAAATGTTCATTTCATGTAAAATATTGTAAAACGTTGATTTGTGGCACAGGACAGATATTCAATAGTCAAAGAGGAAAAAAAAAGGTTGGAACATTCTCTAATGTTAGAAAAGTCAGATTCCCCCAACACTTTTGCTTCCTGCTGGCCCTGAGGGGCATAAATGCTTTCTCTTGTCTTTGCATTTTCCAAACAAAGACAACCCTCAACTCTGATCATTGCAAAGGAAGATTCAGGAAACTTCCTTTTCCAGGAAGATGGGTGGATCTGAGGCATACCTGCTTTATTTGGAGTGCATGATCTTGCGGAGGCTTCTGCAAAGACAGCCAACAGGACAAAGGCCCTCATCACCATTGCTCCTCAGAACCTGGCCTTTGCAGATGGCCAAACCCAAGTGACCAAATGGTTATGGTCCTTCCAGAGCTTGGGCCTCGATCGTTCTAGGTCAGAAACACCAGCAAACAGTTAAAATCAAGAGTAAGAACAAAGCAGCCCACACATTGTTGGAGGAACTGTTCACAGGAGGTCAACGATGCTTTCCCCAGCTCCTGATCATCTTCCCTTGTCAGCACAGAAAACATAAAGTGAGGCTCATACCACTGGGAGCGTCAATGACACAGGAGGTTGCTCATGTTCCCAACTGTCTCATTCTCTCTGGACTGTGGATGCTGCCTCCCAGATGCTCCCCAAACCTCCAGCCCCAGTCCTAGTTCCAGTTTATATAGCCCGAGGGTGTAAAAGAAACCGGCTGCAGATAAATCACAATGAGCACACATTATCCACTGTGGTGGGAATAAAGGAACCTTGCACAATAATCCAATGGGAAGCTCAGTTACCACTTGAGCCTAATTTCTTTTACTGCATAGAATCAGAAACTTTTTTTTCTTAACCATTTCAACTAGGGCTAGAATAAAAAGTTGATTTTTCTCCTAGTACAAAAAAAATAACTCAATTGGAGGCAAACTCTCTCTACGCAGTTCTAGGTGTCAATTTTATTTCTTTTACATCTTCGTTTCTTTGTTTTATTTCTTGCTTTCTTATTTTTATAGATAGGTGAATTAAACTTTTTTTAAGAAGACACAAGTCCAGCATTATTACATTTGACAGGTAAGGCTGTATTACCTATATAAACTGTTGTTGATGTTTCCAGGCTTCAGTAAACCTAATCCTACTGTTTAAAAAAATTCTTTTTAATATATTCCCTCCTCCACCTCCCTTTTCAGCCCATTCAGGAACGAATAGGCTAAGCCAGGTCTTGGAGGCCTCCACCGTCTTTTTTTTTTTTCCTATTTGACTATTGAATATCTATCCTGTGCCATAAATCAGGTACAAGATTAGGCTGTATTAATATGAACATTTTAAAGGTTGTTTTTCTCTAGTACTTTTTAAAAAATGAACTCTGATGTCTAGAATTTTATCTTGAAGTACAGCTTTAAATTACACCCTCCAGGCTTCCAAGCCAGAGCAATGACATTGAAAGAAGGAACTTAGAAAGAAAGGTTCTCCTTAATTGAGTCCTTAGTCCCCAACAAGATCCCATTGAAAACAACAGGAAGGATGCTCCTCCTATGAAGTCTCCAAATATATTATTGGGGACACACATAATTACATGCTTCAAAACTACTGGGCTGTATCTTATAAGCAATATGCCTATATAATGCTGTAGAGATAGCTTATGTCTTCAGAACATATTGTTAAATCAATGGTATGTCTTATAATAATGGTGTCAAAGAATTAATAGCCATATGGCAAGCCAGACTCAGTTTCCTTTTCTATATAATGGATGCTATAATCCTGGACTAACCTTATAGACTAGGAGAGCCATGAGATCAAGCCTCTTGTAAACTGTAAAGTACAAGATAAATAAATAGGTTTATATGAAAAGATATTTAATAGCTTTTGATAATATGTATTTGTCACATGAATTGCATTTCTTTTCCTTAGATCTGCCACAAAGTGGCCCATTGCAGACTTGGGATTGATACAATGTGAGACCTATCTACCTTGCATGATACATATGTGATATGCTTTGTGGCTTTTAAAAAATATGGGCTGAAAAGAGAGGTGGAGGAGGGAATATATTAAAAAGAATTTTTTTTTTAACAGTAGGATTAGGTTTACTGAAGCCTGGAAACATCAACAACAGTTTATACCGTTCTGCATAGTTCATTACTGAGCAGAAAAAGGACTCACTTCTTGGGCATAGCACTAACTCTCTGTGTTGTCTCCCCTCCCTTTTATTAAGCATTTATTGAGCCTCCGTGGTACACTAGGTACTAGATGAGGCCCTGGAAGTCACAGGCGGCTCAGAAATTGATTCTTTCCCTGAGAAACTAGGGGGAGGGCAGTAGAGAGAGTGACAGGAGTTTGCACAGGAGCCTGCACCAGGAAAGTGGGATGGGAGGAGGTAAAGAGAGAGGATGGGAGTGCTGGATGGAGGAAGGAATGAATAGGCTAAACCAGGTCTTGGAGGCCTAAAACAGCCCTGGTGCACAGATTGGATTATTTTGACATTAAACCATCATTGGTCACTGACAATTCAGTATTGCTCTTCAGTGGGGTTTGGGATCCTTGTTCTCATTCCAACTTCAAAAGTGTACTCCTTTTCAGCCAACCTTGACCCAGGCAGGTAGGTCATTGGTAACATCTCCAGCCTGGAAGGTGAGAGTTCATGTAACTTAAAAGGTGGCAGTGGAAATTATTGCCTTTCCTGTCTCTAGTGGAAATGTCTGCTGCATGCTGGAAGATGCTGCAGGGTGAGGCTGAGCCATCGCACTCTGTCATCTGCCCAGAATCCACTCCCTCACTGTGGCTCCTCAAGCAGACGACTTAGGTTCTGTGAGCCTAAAGTTCCTCTTTTAGAAGATATGGTCATGCCAATGATGCAGTGTTACTCAGAATATTAACAAATGGGATATTTGTTAACATTGTTAACATAGACATACTTTCTTTTCTTCCATCAAGGTAAGGCACCAGGAAAGTCTTTTGTTTCTATGCTGAGTTCTACTTAGAAAATCCAAAACGGGGAGCCTATTGGGAGTGGAGAGCACACACTATTGCCATCAGTGCTGGATTATCATGATTTACCAGAACTTGTCAATATAAACATAGGTACTAGGATTAGAGGTCTTGGGAATGTTACATTTCCAGTTCTGTGATCTTGGGCAAGAAACTTGAACTTTCCAAGCCATTAGTTTCCAAATCTGTAAAATGGGGCTTCCCATCTCTTATGGCTCTTACACGGACAGAATGGAATAAGTCACAGGGATTGCTTAGCGCAGTGCCTGGCACACAGTAAGCAATGAAGATTCACTATTACAGAGTGTGTTCCTCTAAGGTCGGCATCCTCAGGCTGGGAGTACATATCAATAGTGTTCCCTTATGAATCTGGGTGTTTTCTAATGGTAATAGTTGTCCCTTTAGAAGCCCACTCTAACAAAAGAGCAGGTGCTTTTGATTTCTAGAGAAGCCCAATAATGATAAGAGCCTGAGACAAAACGATCTCTCCTACAATTTCTTGGAGGGTAGGTCCAGCTAACAATCAGGTACATGATACTCCTTTCAAGGACAAGCTGAATGAAGTTGGGGAAGTGGATTCAACTTTTGTGGAGGCTGGTCTCTAGATGTTTAATTTGCATAAGAAAGAGGATGGGACAAAGTGTACTTGGGCCCAACAGTATTTGATACTTGCTCTGATAAAAGACAGGAGGCTTCTATTTTTTTTCTGGTAATTACCCACCAGTCTGATGCCCCACCCAGTCCCCTTTCTGTTTTCCAACACTCCTCTGCCTTCCTGAGATGAAGATGGAGGAAGAGGGGCGCCACTGGAAAATAGGATCCAAAAACAAAGTCTCCAGCTGAGACCATGGTTATTTCTTCAAAAACATATACGTAAAACTGATCAGAAGTTCTTATCAATTCTAGGATTTTGAAAGAACCCAGTATAGAGGCTTTTATGGAAGAGTCATCAAAATATGAGCTGGTTTGTCCTGCATCTTTGTTCTGTGCATTACCAAGCAGCAGATGGTACCTGCAATATTTGAAGGTCCTGAATGATTTGTGAAAGCTTCCAGACACAAAAGGGTCACAAAATTCCAATCAACATTTTCATTTGTAGCTCAGAAATTATATCTAGGTGGTGAGTCATATGATCAAGAACACCAGTGAACTCACACTAAGGTAACAGATGAGACTTTAAAAATAAAGCTAATAAGCATTCATTAAAATTTCAAAAGCTGCTTTAGTAACTGATTTTTTTTAAGGCAAGCTGTTTGGGTTCATTAAATGTTGGATTTATTAAATGGACTATTGTTTCCATTAAGATTAACCCTCCTTCCACTTTGTGGGAGGCTCTGTTTGCAAATGAGCAAATCATCCAGGTTTCAATGGCTCTTGCCTCAAGGTCTCCCTAGGAATGAACAATTCTCCAGAGAAAGTGGCAGAAAGTACACTCCATAAAGCACAATGGAGAAGTAAGAAAGATGTTCTGCAGATAGCCAAATTCCGAGCCAGCAGCCCCACCTCCCTCTCCCTCACCTGACCCCACAGCCACACCAGCCTTAAAGAACCACAGTGCCCCAGGAAGATCAGCCAGATCCTCCAGGAGATCTCAGGGTCTTCTCTGGAAGGGAACAAAACCTTCCTCCTCAGAAGAGTGGGGCCCTCAGTATGGTCTCTCATGACCCCATCCGCCTCTGCCTCACCTGTCTATCACCCTCTTCATCTCCAATGTTAATCAGAAGGCTGGAGAACAACAACAATGAAAAGCTACTCCCCAAAACAAGAGTACCACCCTAGTGCCTTTTTTTATTTTTTATTTTGAGACAAGCTGACCTCAAACTTGGGATATTCTCCCTCAGTCTCCAGCATCTCTAGGATTACAAGCGTGCACCATCATGCCTGGTTCAAATCCATTTTACACAGCAAGCGCATTTCTTCTTGCTTGAACTTTTGTAGTATGAGGATTTTCATCTTTTGTGGATAATACCATTGTGGGTTTTCTTTCTCTTTTTGGTAGATTAGCATCACTTTAGTTGTAGAATTAGAATCTAAGATTAGAGAAACAGTCCTCTGGATCTGCAGAAACTGGAACTCACTGACTCTAAAGTCCAGGACTGCTTTTTGTCCCCAGACTCCATGGGAAGCCCTTCTTAATCCCACAAGTCACTCCTGGATTTTTCCTCACGCTCAAAGTCTAACCAAGTCAGATATCTTTGTCAACATGCCAGACAAGAGGTGAGATTATTTTTCTTTCACGTCTGATATTTTATTGTGGAAGGTACAGGGAGTTCTCAGCCAGCCAGCAGGTAGGTAGAAGGAAGAAACAGCCGAAGAAAAGCACCCATGTAACCATC